TAGGGCCTTCGGCTGGATAATTTTTTTATATCTTCGCTATTTCTCTTAACACTTGCCATTTAAATTAATTTTATTTATTAAATTATGTATTATTTTTTATGGGTATATTTTTAATATATTTCAATTTTATTTAATTTTGTTTAAATGATAGATATGTTTAAAATCAAATTTTATAAATTAAAATAATCTTTTGTAAAATTCAATTTGCCTAGGGTCAAGAAGTTCTAGCCACGTACCATTGGGCGGCACAATCATCTAAGTTTTTAAGAACTTTAACCCACTCATAACATCCATAGATTACATATAAATAACTATATATAATTCGCATAACAAAAACTCGATTTAGCAAGCAATAATATGTGAGGAGCTGAAGGCGAATTGTTCGGCGCATGTTTTGCAGCCAGAGCCAGAGACAGAGACAGAGCCAGAACCAGAGTTGGATATGAGTTGCATGACATGAGCGACCGTTGGCCAAAATCCTCATAAATTTATGGCATTGACACTTTGCCGCGACTAAATCCTGGCCCGACCTGCCATAATTTCGCCGCATGGCCATAACTTATAAAAGCCACGCCGCTCCACGCCGAAGTTGGCCATAAAAGCGAATAAAAAGCAAACAAAACACTCGAAGAAAAGCAGCAAAAGATGWGGAAGAAGAAGATGATGAAGCAGCAGCAGCCGCAGCACTGCGCTTATTGTGTGATAATCGCATATGGTTTATGTTAATTTGAGAAATGATAAAAATATTTCGCTTATCAATTTTAATCATCATAATCGTCGCGTTGCTATCGTCGAGCCAGTCACAGTAAAACAACAACAACAACAAAATCAGACAACCGAGTTTGAGCACAGCACGCGATCCGGATTCATTGCAGAGGCTGTGGCTCTGGCTGAGGCTCCGCCATGTGGCTGCTGTGCCCCCAGAGAGCGCAGTGCATCCAGGCTTAATGTGGCGCGCGTAAATTTTCGTATCCCAGCCATCTAGCAAAAAGCGGGGAAACCTGAGAGTCTGGCCGAGAAGTGAAATACAAACGAGGTACGCGTTGGATAACGCGCAGCATCAAGATGGTTATTGTTGTTACTGTTGTTGTTGTTTCTGTTGTTGCTGTTGTTATTGTTGCATGCTTGTCATTGGCTGTGGGCCTGGCCTACTGTGGAGCCTAAAGACAGCAACACATTCATAATTTCTTCCGATTTGTATCGTTTATTTGTATATTTTTTTTTTTTTTTTTTAACATTTTAAATTGATTAAAATGCGATAAATCATAATGCGTCCAGCGTCCACGCACACTCGGGGCACTTGGTTATCGGTTCGAGCTCATCGACTGTGCGTCTGCAACTGCGATCGGGTGATGGAACGATTTATGAGCCTTGAACATAATAAAGTGTTAACGGAACGAGTTATTAAGGTAATCTGAATGCGCATAAGTTAATAAAAGCTCGTTGCACTCTCCATACGATTTGCATTGGAGCCGAGCAGCTCAGCTTAGCTCGACTGAGACTGCGACTGAGACTGCGACTGAGACTGAGACTGTGTTCGATCTCAGCTCGAGTTGAGTTGCGTCTAAGGTTGCATAGAGGTTGCCCCGCCGTTGTGGAGACACACACACAAGATGTCGAAAAATATAACATAAAACGACCACACGTACGTCTCCCATGCCGCTCAGCAGGACGCCGGACCCGATCAGCCTCAGATCAGACGTTGGAGGCAGAGAGGAAGAGCAGCAACAGCAACGGCAACAACAACAACAACAAGACACAAACGCCGTGTCTTGTGAGCAGAACAATCAATAAATTTGAACACGTGAGCGGGACGCGAATGCAGACGGCAACAACAACAATAACAACAACAACAATAACAACAACATTAGCAACAACAACGAGTACAACGCGATAAGTGATCGCCGTGTCGACTGATTGCCCACAAGCAACAACAACAGCAACAAAAATTCATATTTTTTGCAGAGCAATTATGGACGGGGGTTAAGGGGAGTGCTCCATGGAACAGGAAGTTATTAGTTGCCATGAATAGTTTCGACTCTAATTTGATGAATATTAGGCTAGATTTAAGAGAAAATGGATTGCTGTTAAAAGTAAAGGTAAATGTGCTTTAATATAGAAATGGTATATTAGAGTTTTGGGCGATTAAAGAGGTAAAAATACATTAAAATTTATAGATCTGCGACTCTCATTGTAAAAAATAGTTATGATTTAAAACAAATCTTAAATCTTAAAATAAATGCCGCTCTAGCCACTTGGCACGCCTCCAATGAGCTCATAAGAATTCTGTAATGACTGTATAAGCTACCGCCTTAAGGCATTTGCCACACCTCTAAATTAGTCATTTCATTTTTAGCTACAAAGCTACAAGTGTATTGAAATAGATCAATATCTAAGAAAATGCCAGTCCATAATTAAGGCTAAAAGAAAATGTTTTATATGATAATATATATTCTACAATAACATACATTAAATGTATATTTGAATTAATTGGTTATTTCTCCTGTAACGTGCATTTACTTTATATTATCAACTTTAATATATATTTGTTTATATTTATCATATTTCTTAATTAAGAAAAAGCTTTTTTAACATTTTTGTTTTCATATTAATTTCATTGAATATTTAAGTTTTATTACTAATAATCTTTATTGTTTGGGAAAGTTTCAAAAGCCATGGTTGTCAATTATTAAATTTTATGTGAAAAATGATGGTTCGATATCAAATTTGGAAATTTCAGTTTTGAAAGTGTGTTAATAAGGCGCGTCTAAACTAAACGGAAACTGACTGCAGAGCTTTCAAAGAGTAATAAACTTTTAAGTTGAATAAGAAACGATATATATTTCAGCTATATAATACTTAAACTATTGAAGTGAATACCAAATATATCAACTCTAATAAATGATTAATGAGCAAAAAAATAAAAAGTATAGGAGAGAGGCAACAAACAAAAGTAACGTAACCATATTCAAATCCTCATACCCCTACGCAGCACCAAAAAGTAGACTATGCCAAAAGTCAATGACAAATGCTTGACTCAATACCACAAGCAATTAGTCAATAGAGTTTATTATTATATGCAAGGTGGACTTTGATTTTGCTACTTGGCAACTCAATAACAATCGCCAAAATTCAACCAATTGCTCGTGTCGCCATCGTCCATTGTGATTGGGGATCTGCGTGCCGTTGATGGGCCGTACAGATTGTAACGCCTCGAGCCGGCGATTACCTCACGATAACGACGCACCGGAGTGCGAGCCATGTGCAGCTCCATTAGGTCCCATTCGTTGATGTCCTGAAAGACCGAGCGAATCATGTGCATGCGACCCAATAGCTCCGTCTCCCGCAAGCCCTCGTATTTGCGGCCCGTTCGTGAGCGGAATGCCTTGTAGACTTCACTCTGTTTCTTCGTCTCTGTCGCCGTCTGCAGCTCCTTGCGATAGAGTGCTCGTATGCCCCTTCCCAGGTGACGTATGTGCTCAAAGTCGCGTATATTAAGCGCCACCAGGGCAATGGCATCCAGATTGAGCAACTTGTGTCCATCGATATAGTTCTCCCTGAAGGTTTCCTATCGAATTCACTCAAAATGCCGTTTGTAAGATTGTAAAACTGAATGACAGATCCCTGCCCCCAACCCACCTCGTATTCCGGATAGCCAAAATCGCGCAGCCATTGGGCAACATCATTGATGCTCCACTTGAACACCTCGGTGCGTGCCTGGGCATCCACGACAGCGGCACACAGACTGAACAGCGAATCGGGCGTGGCTCGAAACGAGAGCGGCACATCATGCTTATCGTACTCCACATCCGGGTACATATAGTCCGGATAACGAAAGCTAAAATCCTGCTCATCTTCGCCATCCGGCAGTTCACTGATGCTGAGACTTTGTGTGTCCAAATGGCGACGCAATTTCGGCGTTGAGATTGCCGACGCGCATGTGGAGGACGACATAGACGACGATGACGATGAGGACAACGACTCCATTCGAGCGGATGACACGTACTGTGTCCTACCTAACCCAAATACAGTTGCCCCAAGTCAATTTGATTGCGGTTTTGCATACCCCAAGTGTATCCAGTTCGTGTTTGTTTACATTGCTTGGTTGCGTTTGTCTATACTCTAAGGCGGAGGGCATATCTACTATATTGGACGTATTGTGACGCTTAAAACAATAAATATTTGTGTTGTATGTGTAAATATCAAAATAATTGCTTTTCTTTCTGTTGCAAATTAGGATTAGATTTTTATATTTCTTAAAGAATTATATAAGATAT